TTCTATTAACACATTTTTCTCTATCACAATTCTTCTATAGCCGCTCCATAAAACTGGGAGTACTTCTCTGATCATCCTCTTCCTCCACAAAACCTTGATCCTATTGATCCTATTCCTTCACAAAGCCTTGATCCTATTCCCATCACACCTTCCAGCCCTACTAACCAAAATGTTCCTAATGTCATTGAGGATTCTTCCTCCACCTATACTGACTCACCTCTTCAACAATCTACTGCCAACATCCTACCAGAGTTTCTTCTTGCACAAGAAATCCACCATCAGATTTGCAGGATTATGTATGTGCTTCATTTCATGATGATCCTCATCAATCATCTACAGGTACTCCTTATTCCCTATTTAACTTTCTATCTTACTCTCATTCGTCTCCTCCTCATTGTCATTATACCCTTTCAATTACCATACATACTATGAAAATTGAGTTAGATTCCCTTGCTAATACTGGTACTTGGACCATTATTGATCTCCCACCTAACATCAAACCCATAGGATGCATATGGGTTTACAAAATTAAATACCATTCAAATGAAAGCATTGAGAGATTCAAGGAACACTTGGTTGCTAAAGGATATAACCAAATAGAAGGCTTGGATTACACAAACACTTTTTCACCTATTGCTAAGCTCACCACTGTCAGACTCATGTTGGCTCTTGCTTCTATACAGTCATGGCACCTGCACCAACTCAATGTTAACAATGCATTTCTCCATGAAGAATTGCATGAAGATGTTTACATGATCATCCCTCCAGGTGTTACTCCTTCTAAACCTAACCAGGTTTGAAAATTAACCAAGTATTTATATGGTCTTAAATAGGTTAGTCGTCAGTGGTATGAAAAATTAACATCACTCCTTGTGCATCATGGATATCACCAAGCTAAATCAGACCACTCACTGTTTGTTAAAACTTCTAATACCAACATTACCATCCTTTTGGTATATGTTGACGATGTTTTATTGGTAGGTAATTCCATTTATGAATTCATATTTATCAAAGATATTCTTCATGCTACATTCAAAATTAAGGACCTAGGAACCTTGAAATATTTTCTTGGCTTGGAAGTTGCTCATTCTTCCAAAGGAATTTCATTTTGCCGACAAAAATATTACTTAGATCTCCTCACTGATTCAGGTCTTCATGGTTCCAAACCTACATCTACTCCTTCTGATCCTTCCATCAAGCTATGTCACGATGATGCTGAGCCATTCCCTGACATTCCATCTTATAGAAGACTCATTGGACGCCTTGTTTATCTCAACACCACTAGACCTGATATTACCTTCATCACCCAACAATTGATTCAATTCTTATTAAAGCCATATCTTACTCATCTTAATTCTTCTTGGAGAGTCATTAGATACCTTAAATCCCGTCTAGGAAAAGGTTTATTCTTTCCACACGATTTCAAACTACATCTCCTTGGATTTTCTAATGCAGACTGGGTTGGCTGTAGAGATAGTGATCTATTCCAGATTCATGTTTCTTCCTTGGTCACTCCCTCATTTCATGGCGCACCAAGAAGAAACAAACCGTGTCTCGATCCTCATCTAAAGCTTAGTATCATGCCCTAGTAGCTGCTACCTGTGAACTCAAATGGATTTTGTATCTTTTACACGATCTTCAAGTAACTTGTGACAAACCTCTGGTTCTTTATTGTGACAATCAGAGTGCACTTCACATTGTTGCAAATCCTGTTTTCCACGAAAGAACCATGCATTTGGAGATTGATTTCCACATTGTAAGAGAAAATTTCATGGCAAGCATCATGAAATTCTTCCTATATCATCCAAAATCCAACTTGTAGATTTTTTTACCAAGTCATTATTACCACAACCATTCAGTTTCCTCATGTCCAACTTAATTAACACATATCAAGTGTCAACTTGAAGGGGGATCTTAACCAATGCATGCATGAAGCTGGAAGTTAGCTATTTAGTTAAAATAGTTAGTTAGCTTGCATTACAAGTTTTGATCCTATACATGTTGTACATTCTAGCTTATAATGATGATCACCTCATGTATAAATGATGTAATGTAACCTCACTTCAAGCTATGAGAAACTGCTTCCTCTTTCTCTCTATTGTGTTCATGATTACTTCTCTTTTCCCTTAATCTTTACAAGGAACTATGAATTATTTTTCTCATATGCATTGTAAGGGGGTGTCAAGATTAAATATAGGTGTGTTTAGTAGAAGTATAATTGGCTAACAATAACTTAAGCCCAATAAGCTTTTAAGCTAAAAAAAACCCATCGTATAAACAGATGAAACGCTAACAGATCTACTACGAAGAAGAGAGAGAAAGCGTAGAAACAGAGAAAAATGAGAAAATTCGATCCATGGCCAGTTTTCTTCAAGCGAGAATGGAAGAAGAATTGGCCTTTTGTCGTTGGATTCGCTATCACCGGAACTATAATCACCAAGTTTTCCCTTGGTCTAACTGGTATATCATTTTCAAATTTTTTTTTTTTTTGTGAATGGTGAATTTTGTGTTTTTTGTTTTGAATCTGATTCGTGTTTTCTTGTATCTCTGTAGAGGAGGATGCGAAAAACTCCAAATTTGTTCAAGCTCATAAGAGGTAACACTCAATTTACCAAACCCTAGCTTTTTTTGTTTGCTGCTTTCTGTTTGATTTGAATATGGATCTCGTTTTTTTCAATAAAAGTTTGCATATGATTTTCCATGTATCAATTTTTGTCTGTAAACTTGATAATCACTTTGTTATTATCACTGTCATACATAGTTTTGGATTCTGTTAATTGAATATTATGCTTGTGTTTTCCAGGTGATCTCTGAAGGGAAGAATGGCATTGGCTTTGCAAGCTGTTATAGATGTAACAAAAGAACTTTGCTTGCTTTAGTTTTTTCTAATTGAAATAACTGAAGGGAGATATTTTACATACTCTCTTCATGTCCCTTTTTTTTCCTTCCAGATTTGGTTTTTACTTAAACGCTCCTGATAAATTTATATACTATGCAGTATTGAATGATTAGATTCATGTGTTTCATCTTGAGATTTCTTTTATTTTGTACTTGGACCCTGTCATTTTACCTGAGAATTAAGCAAAAATCAACCGAATCTAACCAATGAACCAAATGATCACCTCTCAAAATTGGAAGATGTGTGTCTATGCCTCCCATTATTCTTTACTCAGTTTTCTGGTGTATCTTCTATTATACTGTAGCAAATTCCAGGCATTTGTTTGAATAGTTATGTTATTTGGAAACTATACAAACTCTCATGCTGCTGAAGATTGTGTGATTTTTATTTATTTACCTCAGGAGAGAGAGAGAGAGAGAGAGCAAAACTTGAAAGAAAATTAACTTAATTTCAACTGTATAATAGAAAATAATAAAAGTTATATCATTTTACTAATTGGTCTTGGGTATGGAAGTTAAAAATTTCTAACAGCATTAAGATGCACTTCCTTGCATTCATTATTCATGATGGTCTTTCCACAACCTTTTTCTTGGAGCCACCTGACATGTCTCATATTATGCATGCACTTCCTTGCATTCATCATTTCTTGATGAATAAGTGAAGTTGATTCAAGTTCAACAATGATTTAATAGATTTTTTATTTAATTTAATTTAAAAATTTGATATCCGATTTTGAGATCGACTAATTTAAGGAAATTAGTTTTCACCATCTACTTGTGGTGCTCTTTAAAACCAGAGCAAAGTTTTATATAAATTTATCTAATATAAAATTGTTAGCACTTAGTGAAATTCAATCCTAAAATTTTGAGAGAACCATGAACTCAGGATTCAAGTTTTCAAAAAGCTTAGCGTTTTCTTCTACTTTTGCTTGGGGGTTGCTTCTAGGGGTGTTCAAATTCAAACCAATTCAAATAAAAAATCGAAAATCGATCCAAAAAATCGAAAACTATAAAAAAACCGAAATTTATTGGATGTGTTTGGATGTCATTTTATGAAAACTGATCGGTTCAGATCGGATTTCGGATGAATTTTTCAAAACCGATCCAAACCAAACTGAACCGCATACATATATTTTTATACTTATTTACTTTTTATTAGTATAATATGTTATGTGAATTTATTATTAGATGATAATAATTTTTTAATAATATTTATTAGTTTGATATAATCTATTTATTTTTATTATTTCAACCATAATCGATCACTCTTATTTTATAATATTAACTTTTAATATACTATATGTTATATATTATATCAAATTTATGATTTATTAGTAGTTTTATAATATTAATAAAAATATAATGTGTAATTTGGATATCTAAAAACTGATTCAAATTTTTTTTTTAACATATCATCTAAAACCGAATCGAACTGAAAGTTAATTTATCTTTGGATCAGATGAGTTTTTGCTTTAAAACCGATCCAAACCGAATCGAGAACACCCCTAGTTGCTTCTATTTCTTATTAGGCGTTTTTTCACGTATTTTTGTCTCAACTTTATCTATCAATAGCTCAACTAAAGTCATCCTTAGTTGTTTTATTGATTTAAATGGGTTCATATTGTTTTAATGCTTTTTATAACAACTTATTATGTTTAATACTAAAAGAATGATAAGCACATCTTAGACATTGATCCATAATTTTGCACTCTTATTGATTTTGAATAAAGTATTGAATGATCTATCAAGACAAGCACACATACACTATAAAGAACAAAACAGCTGTATTAGTAGAGCCGTTAACGAGATTAAAGCTTTATGATGTAAACTTAAAGTACAAGCACTTAGTATTTTACATTAATTCCTAATATACCAACCCCCTATCTTATTGGATGTTCTTCTTAAAGTAAAAAAGCACTAAAAATTTGACAAGACTAGAGGCTATCTATCCTTGGGGATTATTACAGCTGGTTCACACTAACTAGAACCATGCTATACAAAGATTATTATTAATTAGACTAAATTAAAACAAGTGGCAGTGACACACAAATGATAATATGAACAAACAAAACAAAATATTAATTTGGAAAAAAGAATCCTAATTAGTAATTAGCATAGTAAGAAAAATAATGGTCATCACTCTTGGGGAATAACATGCTTTCTTCATCCATCACCCATAGTGAGTTTGAGGAATTATACTCCCATGATGAAGAACTCAGTGGTAGAGAACATGATATGTTATTTTTATCATTATCATTGCAAAATTCTTCATTCTCAAGAGCACTATTCTCTTCTGATATATCAATATCTTTCCATATATCATCCATTGAAATCTCCTCTTGTTCATGATCTCCTCCTACTCCTACTCCTACTTGTTTAACTTGTTTTGATATTGTTGATCCTCCTGTGTCATAAAAACTTGTTTCTTCTGCATCTTTTGAAACATGATGGTCTATAGAAGGAGTTGATGAGATTTTCTTTTTGTCCTGAGCTTTCTTCCTCATGTGAGTTCTCCAGTAATTCTTTATCTCATTATCCGTTCGACCAGGTAACTTTTGAGCAATTCTCGACCACCTACATAAATAGAACGTAATCGCATATATCATCACACATATCAGTATCATCCAGATACACGTATAAGACACCAGACGCATATTTATTAAGAGATATCATATATGTATCAAACACGAGATACCATACACATATTTGTTCATAAGTATGATACATGTATCAGATATCAGACACATATTTGTTCAGAGATATTGAGAATACAATTAGTTACCTATTTCCCCATTTGGATTGAAGGTCAAGGACAAGACGTTCTTCATGAGGAGTCATTTTACCACGTTTGAGACCAGGATGAAGATAATTAACCCATCTTAATCTACAACTCTTACCAGTTCTATTCAAACCTACAACAAAAAAGGAGGAGGTTAATCTTAAAAGGTTGCTTATTACATGATCCAACATGTCCAAAATAAGCATTACCTATATGTTAGTGTCTCCCTCCACCTTCAAACCTGATACCTTAGCAATAAAGTCCCATCTTCTGTCGCCAAATAATCCAACAAATGACACCAATTTGAAGTCTTCTTGTTCTGTCCAGGGTCCTTTTCGTACTTCCTCAGATTGAACCATTTTTTTCCCTTCAAGTTCTTCTTCTAGTGGAATATTGAGAATGGTTTCTTTTTCTTTTTGTGCCTTGAGTACTTGCAAGAACCTATGTGTGAAGTGGTGGTATTTATATATGGAGGTGTAGTGTTTTAAATGTTTGTTTTTTATTACAAGATAACATAATAATAAGTGACTTTGCATATCAACCGTACAAGTGCTACACATGCTTATTCAATTTTAATCAATTGCTATGGAACAAATTCTCGAAGACAATGACATCCATTACTACATGGAAATATAATCATAGTAGTTGAAGTTTATGGAGAAAAATAAACTCTCAATAAATATTAGGATAATTTATATAACATCACACTATATATATAAAGTATAAACTATGATTTTTGATATATTAGATGAATTATATAGAGATTAATTGACATTTACTGTAAGTATAAAAAAAATTTAAATTACTGATACATCACAATTATTCATTAGATGATACTTTAAACATTCACATATAACAATTTAACGGTTATAATTAATTAACTAAAACATAATAAATTTAATTTGAAGAAAAATTATAGACTAATTAACTAGTGCTAGCTAAATATCTCATTATTTTTATTTTTATTTTAGACTACTTTAACCTTACAACTATGGGTGAGATAGATTTTTTCAAGTCTAACGTTTAACCTACTATAAAACTCATAGTTTAAATTTAATTAGTAGTATGTCAAAAAATTATTTTTAAGTTTTAATATATTTTTTTAAAGATTTTATTGATTTATTAGTCTATTTAAAATTCTATTTCATTTAAATTTATATAAATAAACTATTAAATTAATGTTTAAATAAATTAAAAAATTAAATGAATAATAAGATTAAATATTTATTTGCATTGATTTATTAAAATTTATCTATTAAAATAAATTTTATGAAACTATTTATTTCTAAGAACTTACAAAAATATTTTATGACAATGTTTATAAGATTTTTTCATCATTTTCGTAAATTGTTATTATTTTTATGTTTCATTTTAAAGTAAAAATATAATAATAATATATTTGTATCTATTTAAATAAGTCAGTTTTATAGATTTAAAAAATTTGTTTTTTGACATGTGGTTACATGTGGAAATAGATCAGAGTATTTTAGAGGAATTTATAATCTATAACGTATTCAACGTTAGGTCAGATCAGATCGTTCTACAAAGACTTAAGTCTATTTAATGTTAGGTCAGGTCAGACCTACTTATTAAAAAAATTAGGATTGAACTTTTTTAAAAATCTATTTAATTAAATAGACCAGACTCAAGATATTAAAAAAGTTTATGTAATCTTATAAATTGATCTATATTTTCATATATATATTAAAAATATGTTAAACAGACAGACTTTTATATATATCTTAGAAAAAAGACTAAATAAACTGATATATATATATATATATATATATATATATATATATATATATATATATATATATATATATATATATATATATATATATATATATATATATATATATATATATATATATATATATATATATATATATATATATATATATATATATATATATATATATATATATATATATATATATATATATATATATATATAAAGACTAAATATGTCGGTCTATATATGTATATAGACCAGCCTATAAGACTACTTAAGTAATATGAATTTAATTGAAAATCTTAATAAAAAACAGACTTTTAAATAGATTTTTAAGTCAGACCAGACTTTTTTAAAAGGTCAGGTTAGACAAAAAAAAAATTAGACTCAAATCTTCTAAAATTTAACCTAGCAAAGTCTATTTCCACCCTTACATGTAGTCTAATTTCTATTTACTAAATCTTATTTTTCTAATAATAATAATAATTTATTTGTATTTATTTAAATAAGTCATCGATTTTTTCTACTTTTAACATGTTTTATCCGATTTCCATTAATACAATAACATAGTTGATATATCAATCAGGTTATACCAATATCCCTTCTAATTTTCAACTCGATCGATGTGATCGACTGATTCAATCTAATTTTTAAAACCACATAAAAAACAATAAAGACAAATTATTAGATTAATTAAAAAAAAGTAATTCTATATCTTTCATCTTATCTAAAGTTTTTTTCTTCCACTTGTACCCATACCCACTACTTTGTTATGGGGTGATTATTTTTCTTTTGAGTTGAGAACTTTATTGAACAAAGTAATTAGTACATTGAATTGGTAAAACTAATTAATACAATGTATAATGTATATAGTAGACTTAACTATAATTGTTTTTATTGCCATTACACATTTATCTAATGAGTTATTGGTATGTTTAACTTAAGATTTCAAGATGATGTTTCTTTGTAAATTGCTTTAACTCCTTTTAAGAGTTTGGAGAAAAGGAAAATAAGAAATAAATTCCACTTTCTTTGAATAAATATGTAATATCTATTTTTTTTGTTGCTCCCAATTTTTTCAGATTTTAAAGCAAGTTATATCAAAGTTCTCAACAAAAATGTGGAGTTGAAGTGTTAGTGATGAATAGTTTTGCTTCCAATTGTACATTTTGATGGAGCATTACGTCCCTTGACTTAAGGAGGGGCCATTGAAGAAAACAAGAGACAAAATATGGAAGATGACAAAACTTTGAAGAAATCGTTGAAGTGGTTTACAGACACATTATTTTCTTTCAAGCATATAATAATGATGTAAATGGAGAGAGATTTAATAGATTAGTCCATGAAATGAAACTATATTGTTTGATAAATGTAGAATTTAGAGTGTGTGTGGTACCACTAATAGTGTGGTACGTAATATGTTGGGACTCTGGGTTTTTAAATAATAGAATACTCCAAGTTGGTGTATGTGCATCCCACATAAAGGTAGAGTGCATAACAATACTAAAATTAAAGGGAAAAAGTTCCACTTCATTTGTATACCTTTTTGTTTGCAAATAGTTTCTCGCGTACTTTCATGCACATCATTATACAATTATATATGTGATATCATTATTAATTTTTAAATGAGAAAAATATGGGGATCTAAGGGTGTGTTTGCAATTAAGTTGGATATAATTGATTTTAACATAATTAAATTTGGTATAAATAATTTTAATAGGATTGGAATTAACATAATTAATTTATGTTTGAATATATTTATGTAAAAGTGATTCGAATAATAAATTTCAATGTAAAAACCACGTTTAAAGTCAAAGCTACACATTTTAGCCTCAAGTAGAATATATTCTAGAGGCAAAATTAATTTTACTTTTGAAAAAACAAACTCCTCAAAATCACCTAGAACCTAAAGTATATTCATGACACATTACTCATTTGGAACACCAAAACTTAAAGCATATTTATAACCATAATTCTTCATTTGCAATAGAGTTATAACAAGAAAACAAAAACAAAAACATAGTCTTATAACAACAAAAACATCACAACGCGAGGAACACGACACATAACAATATCACATAGTCTTATAACAAAAAAAACATCATAATATTTGAATATAGAGAGAGAGAGAGAGAGAGAGAGAGAGAGAGAGAGAGAGAGAGAGAGAGAGAGAGAGAGAGAGAGAGGAGAGAGAGAGAGAGAGAGAGAGAGAGAGAGAGAGAGAGAGAGAGAGAGAGAGAGAGAGAGGAGAGAGAGAGAGAGAGAGAGAGAGAGAGAGAGAGAGAGAGAGAGAGAGAGAGAGAGAGAGAGAGAGAGAGAACAAACACAAAAAGGTAAAATAGCGTACTTCGAAGAAGAGGAAGAGATCAAGAAATGAATCAAGATGGAGAACATGAAGATTTCGCTATCGCTGTCGTCTGATTCACTAGGACATGTGTTATGAAGGAAATAAAGAATCTGTTATATTTTAATTTTGTAGGAAAGAGTTTCACCATGGTTGCAAATACTAACCGTAGTGAAATATGACACATATAACTACGTTGATAAAAAAACTGTAGTTAAAAAATTTCAATTTTTATTTAACAATACATGTTAAGGGACACACTTTTTTATTAAAAAAGTGAAAAAATATTGATGTTGCGATTCGAAGCTTGTAACCCTTACTCTATGATCACGATTATTATTATGAACCGTGATGAAAAATCTTTAATAAAAAAAAATCAAACGCATTAAAATGAGATATTACTGCGGTTGACAAAATGACCATAGTAATATGGTGTTACCAAAAGTATATCTTATAGTAGCGAAGATTGACTGTGGAGGCTAGTCAGATTAAAACATGGGGTGAAAGTGAGAGTAAACCGATGAAGGTAGGTAGATAAGATTTTAACTTTTGAGAAACTTGACATCATGCATTGATTAAATTGTTTATGAAATATAAGAATCAAAGAACCTTGCTGCAATGAAGATTAAAGATATTGAAGTCTCTTTAGAAGCACATGTATTAAAAATGAAGGAATCGAAAAAAGGTGTTTGAGGAAGCATTGCAGACCAAGATAAAAAATTATGATAAACGATGATTTGAGAAATTACGAAGGAAAAAAGAAGTAAAAAAGAAGAAAATTTATTTGAAAACTTCAACAAGAACACAAAGAATCACGCTAAAGAATCATACATGAATACAGTTTCAAGAATTTCAAGAAAAAAGTTGGAAAGAAAGATGAGCAATGTTATAATTGTAAAAGTATGACCATTATGAAAGAGAGTTATATTCAAATTATGAAGGTGATAAAGGAGATTATCAACTTTTACAAGCAGATAACAATGATTCAGAAAAATGTTTTTTTAATGACCACAATAAAACTAGATTAAGATAAATCCAATTTTTGATACCTAGACATAAGTGTAGCAATCTCATGACTATGAACAAGGGGTGGTTTATGAAACTTGATGATTATATGAGAAAATTATCTGATTTCAGATAAGAGTTAAGTTATGTTACAAGAGATTGGAACTGTGCCTATTAAAAAAATATATGGTCAAGAATAATCATCAATGAAGTGTTGTATGTGTCTTTCATGACATACAATTTGATCATCCTCAATTAATTTTTTAGTACAAACT